TGGTATTTAGTGAACTTTTTAAAGATTTTTTTTCACAAATATTATATTTTTTAATTGTATTTATGTTAGGTATATCTAAAAATTAAAAAAATTGCTTAAAATATTAAAAAAATTCAGTGAAAACAAAAAAATGAGGAAAACAAAAAAATTTAATTTTCTGAAAAGTGAATTCAGAAAACTCAAACCAAACAAACTGATTAGCACTCAAAACAACAAAACTAGAAGGAGGAGAGCTAGCAGTGTCCAAGAAATATAAGCCATCCTCAATGGTGCATTCTGTGTTGTAAGAGCGGGGAATCCGTGGATCATTTATTCTTACATTGTCCAATAGCTTTGAATTTATGGCATAGATTGTTTTGTTTTGGAAATGTTATGTGGGTGACCCCAAAAAGGAGTGCGCATATGCTCTTAGTTGATTTTTGCACATTTGGAGGATCGAAGAGAGCCAAAATTCTATGGACTTGTGCCGTCTTTGCAACTTTTTGGGTTTTATGGATGGAGCGAAATCAAAGGTTGTTTGAAGATAAGTTTCGGGAGGTGGGCTGTTTGTGGGTTCATGTTTGTCATTTATCTTCTTTTTGGGCGTCGGGGAACTCTTTATTTAAGGGAGTCCCACTCTTTTTGTTAGCTAGAGATTGGTTGGCGGTGTGTGCTATGTAAACTGTTGCCTGTTTTTAGTTTGTTAGGGGTTTTTTTGTGTTTGTATTTTCATTGTCTTGTTGTAAGAGGATGCCTCATCCTCTCTTCCTTTTTTTTGATTTATCAATAAAGCTTTTGTTGTTGATAAAAAAAAGAAAAAAGAAATATAAGCCATCCTTCTTATGCCCCAAACCGATCATTTTCTTGGTCTGGAGGTCCTGTAAAACACAAGAGGGAGAAAAGGTTACAGAGCAGTTTAGAGCTTTAGTTAATCGACTTAAAAAAAGCAAATTAAAGGGAAAAAAGGTAACATAAAGACGAGAGGGTAAAGAGAGAGATGAAGTGGGCTGAAGAGTGCCTTGGTCACTAACAGGTCGAGAGGAGCCATCAATGAGTATAATATTACGGGTGACTAGACGAAGGGATGAAAAAGAGAGGAATTACCAGAGATATGAGAACTAGTGCCAGAGTCTAGAAGCCAAGGTGGGGGGGATTGAGCGATACATGCAATATTACCTGACTTAGCCGATGTAGCAGTAGAGGATAAAGGAAGTGCAGTATGAAGAGAATTAATTATCTTAGTAAGCTCGCTGATCTGAGTGGTGAGTGCATTATGAGACTCAACTGAGTAACCACCAGGACCAGAACAGAAAGGAAGTTGACTGAGAGGACTGAGCATCCATAACCTGATTCACATGATCAGGTTTATCATACTTATGCCAACACCAAGGTTCAGAATGACACACAGAACCACAATGAGTACACTTCCGATCACTACGAAACATAGAACTAGTACCACGACTACCACCACCATCAGAACCACATGAACCAGTATGAGGTCCATAGGGACTAGAGCTGCCATGAAAACTACCCCGATTAGGCCCACGGTCACCACTGCTAGAGATCAAAGCCGAAGAGGACAAGTGCTGAGAGGAAGTAGACGTGGAAGAACCTGTTCCAGAGAACTTAACATCCGAGAATAGGTATTAGCAGCAAAAGGTAAATTCTCATTGGCAAGAATTTGATCTTTGAAACCCTTTAGATCACAATCTAAGCCCAAAAGTAAGGATACCATCGTAAACTCCTCCCAATATTTCTTCTGTTGAGCCAAATCAATAGTAAAAGGTCGTTGCAATAATTGATCCCATAAGGTCTTAAGGCCACTGTAATATTCAGGAAGAGGACGACCAGACTGTCAGGTAGCAAAGATTTGCTCATACAACTCATAACCATGAGAGACATTACTCTAATTAGAAAACGAATCAGCGAGTCCCAAATTTCCTTAGAAATGTCACAAAATTCCACTATAGAAGTAAAATTAGGTTCCAAACTATGCCAAAGCCAACCCATAACACAATAAGCCTCACTCAACCAATCATCATAGCCTTTATCATCCTCATCAGGTGGAAGTTTAGTAAGAAAATGCAACTTCTTGCCACGCAAGAAAATCTTAACGGGTATGGGCCTAAGCCAGATAATTCAAACTATTTAATTTCTTAGTGGTAATTGACTTGGGTATATCATCATCCTTAATCACAGAAGATTTAGGAGCAGGTTTGTCTTCAGCCATAACACCAAAGGAAGAAACACAGGAAACAAGCAGAAAACAGCAGAGGAAACACCAAAAAAAAAAAGAAAAAAAAAAAGAGAAGGAACATCAAGCAACAAGTCTAGAGAGTGATGAAACACCTAAGAAAACAGACCCAAACACCAAGGTTCAACACAACAGCAAAACAGGAGAGCTAAGGCATTTTCGGCTCCTAAAATGGAAAATTCCAACACATCAGCAACAAAAACACAAAACAAACTTAGGGACACATCTCCTAGGGCATTTTCGGCTCCCAAGGATTGATTTCCAACAGTCAAACAACTCTGGGTAAGAAAATTAGGCACAAATTGAAGTATGACCAGCAAAAATATGAAAAAGATTCAAAAATAAGAAACTCACATCAGATGGTTCCAAAATTTTTCCACAAAAATCACCATGAACATCAAGAGAAAAGAGGCGAGCATGAAGGGCCAACCTTGTTCATACGGACTCTAATGTCACGCTTATGTCATCGTACGGAAGATGACATCAACACGTCGTTTTCACCTCAGAAAAATCTCGAGAGTCTGATTAACTCCTGGCAAGGTTGAATCGATGCTCTGATACCAAGTTGAAGTACAAACATATGGAAAATGTAGAGTAGGGTTAAAGAGAAGGAGAGAAAGAATAAGGAGAAGACGAGAGCATTATTGAACGTATGCTTTTAGGTTTGTGAAATAAACCTAAATCATCAACAAATATATATATATATATATATATATATGAGATACAATGGCCATACTATCCTTACTCAACATAAAAACTAACACATAGACACATATTCTAACAACCACCATTCCATGATTAGATTGCCTCTGCTCAACTTCTCGAACCATCGAAACATAGTTTTGAGCTACCAAATCTAGACAATCTTCGCCAAATCGAGATACAAAATCTTGATTTGTCATAGCAATTAGCAAGAGAGTGAAATAAAGGAGAATCACTCAAGAAATTCTAGAGAGAATTTCAAGAGTGAGGCGCTCTCATTTATCTTTTTTTTCGGAATTTATGGTTCTTATTTGGATGGGTTCTTAAAGTCAAAAGTCTAGTTTCTAAAAACTCTGGAGTCCTATGTAATGTTCCAAGTCGGAGTTGGGTAAGAGTTGGAAGATCTCTAATTTAATGGTAAACATGTTTTAGAGAATCTTTTGGAGCTTTCTTCGGATTGTCTGATACAATTTTTTTAATACCTTGGGGGTGTTGGGGTGAAATTATCTTGCAATTTTAACCAAATTTGCCCAACCTTTGTTTCACTTCTTAAATCCATGTGAAGCCTACCTATTCTCCACTCAACCAAATAACTAGAGCACATAAAAGTAACCTAAAACTAGCCTAGTTACTATTCCTGGGGTATTATTATTGACAGCATCAAAACTTCTTATATTCTCTCTTAAACCCCAGAAGTCTACCATTTTGTTGTTTCATACAAATTCTTGTTAAAACCCTACATTTTCCCGTCTTTCAACTGCAATAAACAATTAAAATCAGTTACTTTACCGCTGCCCCTTATCAATTTTAAGCTCACTGCTTGTAGGGGAGTGTTCTTCAGAAGGGAATTGGACAGAATTTTTACAGTATCCAAAGTTTTTGATTTTCTTGTCTAAATTACCAGATAATGTAGATTTTACCAGGTTATAGTTGGCACTGCCCATATGAATTCTCGTGTACTTTATATGAGTTCTCCAATTGGAATATTGGAGTATGCCATCTCATCAAGGTGCATAATAAACTTTTCTCTCACTCGTGCTTCCGATTGTCTTTCTTTGTGTTTAAGAAAAGAAACACTTAAAGGCACTTTTATGTTCTATTTACTTGCTTTAGGTTGCTATCCATTCTCAGTCTGAATTCATCCTTTCGTTATGGTTAGCCAAGTTTGCGTTCTTATTTTACAGTCATGAAACTAAATTTGGTGTTTCAGAGAATCCATTTGGCACCATGAAAGCTCTTGTTGTGTTCTGCTTGATTGATTGCCTTTATACGCTGTTTCACTACTTTTTATTTTTATGTACATTGACAAACAGAAAAATCATTTTAGCTGAAGTTTTTAGCTTGATTGAATTTATTTTTTTATTACGTAGTCTGCATTTATGCTTTCAGTTTATGTCTTGTCCATGATTTTTCGATTTAGTACTTGTGTGCAAAGGCTATTATGTTTTTTAATTATTAATGGTATGCTTGGTAGAAAAGAAAGAGGAGAGAAAAGAAGAAATCTCAAAAGGGATAAACGATAAGATAAATATATTCGTTTCTCTTGTTTGGCTGTCAGAAAATGTGGAGAGAAAGGAAAGTGAATAACATATCTAAGGACCGTTTAATAACTGACAGAGCCATGGAAGATGGCATTTTGCAAGCACATATAGGAAGCAACTCATTAAATTGTGCAGATGCTGAGATTATTACTCTTTTTCTCTCTCTAAATTAAGAGTTTCTTGTTGTCCAGAGAAGTATGAAACCTGAACCATGTCAAACATTTTGTTTATGAAAACACTACGCTTTAGTAGTATCTTAGTGTCAAAATATTGCCTATCATGACTAGGTTGCCTTAAGCTCAGACAATATAGATCTGGAAAATCAAAAGAAAACTGAATGCCTGGAGTTGGGATGTGGATGTGTTATTCTAGAATTATTATGTTTATTTTTGTTCAGGCTTCAAACTGTATGCTTCAGTATTTCGTTAAGGCCTATGAATAGCATTTGAGGTTAAACATGACTTCCTATTCAGTCAAGTTTCAATATAGCATCTGTCAAGACTTTATGACATGTGACTATACAGATTTCTGGAGAGCCTGTTGAACAATTGTCTCAAACAGTATTCTCTATTTCTGCCTGACCTCTACCCTCACATGGAGTACCCTGCATCGTCATTGTCAAACCAGCCTAGTTATATCGGGAATTCTGAAAAGAAGAGTGAGCGAATGAAAGCAAACGAGAGTTCATCTCCCAACAAAAAGGGCAAAAATGGAAGGACATCAAAAGCATCAACAAGTTCAGATGTAAATGGAAAATTCAGGCAGCCCACAATTGTGGATTCTTTGAGGAAAGCATGTGGCACGACAAGCCAAGAAGTGCCAAATGAGGATTCTTCTTGTCTGCACTCTAGGGATAGCATAGCTGAGCCAGCATCCCCTCATGCCAGTGACTCTAGTGAAGTTGTAAATGTCGAAGTTTCTGCAGCTTCTGAGGTTCTAGAGGCACAGAGATACAAATTCAGACCTCTTCTTGTTGACTGCTTTTCTATTTTGGCATTTTCAAAGGTATATATGCATGGTCTATTCGTTCTATTCTAACTGCATGCATTTGGCCATGCCATGGAAATTATTGTTCTAGACACAAAGTTACAACAGTTGAATTTTGTAAACAAAGTTGAATATGGAGAGAGAGAGAGAGAGAGAACACAAAGGTTTAACGTGGTTCAGCTAATCTTGGCCAACATCCACATACATAAATCCCTATGGGCTACAACTTTCATTCACTCAACTTAATACTCTTGTTTACATGATATACCATATATATAGAGTGGGAGATACAATCAAATCCTTTCAGTTAAGGGATTGAAATAAATTAAAGATACAAAAAATCATGATATGCACAAATTATGGGATCTCTATATATTTTCATATCTTCCATATATTCTGATATCTTTAACAATATAATCTTATCTTCAACACTTTCCCTCAAGTTGGAACAGGGAATAGTTGAAGTGAAGTGTCCAACTTGAACTCGAAAATAGGAAGATCATCACAAACAACTACAATTACGTTGTCGAAAGCCGACAATGATTGTAATAGCTCCTCTCAATGACAACTCTGGGTAACATAGGCAAGGAATCAACATCTTGCAACAGAGAAATGTGCATGGAATCATTCATTATGGCAGCAAGAGAAACCAATCGAGAGAGAGAAAGTAACAAGGCCAAAACAATGACAAATCACCACAAATAGAAATGCCGGAAGAATGGTGTATCACAAAACAAACAAGACCGTGGAGGAGCGGCGTCCCACAAATAATGTTACCAAACACACCGGTAGATCCAAATACATGAAAAAAGGCAACTCCTTTGCTTAAAACATCAACAACATTGACCTAAATGGTTAACCAAGGTGAACGAGAATAATGAAAATGAACGGGCTGAAAATTCAGCATATCACAAAATAATGCTACTGAAAACACCAACAGCTCTGTAATAAGTAAAAATCACAGTGTTTGCTTACTACACCAGCAAACTAGGGTTTGACTCAAGGAAGAGGAAAAAACACCTTGACAACAAAAAAATGCGGAGTGAGAAAGTACTCCAGGGAGAAACATGCCTAGGGTTTGTTAGGCTTTGATATCAAGTTGAATTTTTCAATATGACAATAAAGTTGAACATGGAGAGATAATAGAGATAGCAAAGAGAAAAAAAAGAACACAGAGGTTTAACGTGATTCAACCAATATTGACCTACATCCACACGCATAAAGCCCTATGGGCTACATCTTTCATTCCCTCAACTTAATACTATTATTTACATGATATACCATATATATAGAGTGAGAGATACAATCAAATCTCTTCAGTTAAGGGATTGAAATAAATCAAAGATACAAAAAATCATTATACGCACAAATTATGGGATCTCTATATATTTTGAATCTTTAACAACATAGTCTTATCTTCAACAACTTACTACAACATTATGAATGAGTCTGATTATTGTCTCGGTAAAGGATTAAGTTTAGAACTTGTGGAACAATATTTAAATGTAAAAGCTTTTTTGTAAATGACTCAATGGTTCTTATGCATTTTGTAAGAGGCTCGCGAAAAATCTAATTGAAAGAATGAAATCTTCCTAGGGGTAGGACCAACTGCCGACCTCAACTATTCAAGTTTTTGCATGAATTGTGTTTTTTTTTTGTTTTTTGTTTTTAAAATTATTTAGGCTTTGCTGCAAGTGAAGTTCTTATTTGCCCTCTTATTTTTTATTGAATCAGAGGTATCTTAATAAACGACCCCTTAGGAATTCATCTATTTAAACCTTGCCAACATTCCAAAGTTTGACTGTGGAATCTTTGTCCTAATAGAACTAGATGATGACAACATATAAATAGCTATGAGATCATATAACTCAATATAAGGTTGGGTTATAGGATTTTCTAGAAGCATTGGACGTTATTGGGCCTAGAAGATTGTGGTTATTATTTAAAATTCTTTACAAGAAGAACCATTTTAATGTGATCCCAACCTGCTTCTATTTTCTTTTCCCTTCTAAAAAAAAGGTGCCTGCTTCCCTAACAATTCATTCCCTAAATTATAATGCTTCATCTTGACGTTCAAATTCTATAATTAGTTGCTGTGTTCTAGCGCATATAATCTCAAAAACTAATAACCAATCACCATAGGATTTAAGCTTTTCTAAACCTTATTACTAGGCAGATACAACCACAACATTCGAGAGAGGAAGAAAATTAACTAATCTATTATGGTATAGAGAGAAGCGCAAGGAGTACAGCTGGTATTGATGTTGTCATGAGAGGAAGAGCGTAGCATGTACGTTATGGCTTGCATTGTGGTATTTAGATTTTCAGAGTAAAGATTTTTTTTTATTATTATTTATTTTTAGGAGGGAGATGAATTATTTCCTTTTTAAAACTATAAATCATGGAATAATTTCATAGCAAGTGTTTTCTTTTTAAAATCATAAATTATGAGATAAAATCAAAGCAATTTTACATTTTGTTGTGACATATATGGATAATCTAGCAGAAGAGCTGGCCAATAGATATAAAAAATTATGGGATAATATCATAACAATTGTAAAATTGTATTATTGTTTGGATTCCCTATATGAGAAAATTGGTTAGGGTTCCCCATATGAGAAAATTGGTAAGTTTATCAAAATGGGCAGAAAAGAACTTAGTAGAATAAAATTGAAAAGTTTATAATGGTGGGTCAAAATGTCATTTTGTGTTAATAGATATATAGATTAACATCAAATAGTGGTGGTCTAGGCACGCTGCCCCCTTCTCTCATAGAGTCCATCTTCTTGTTTAGGCAGTTCATGCCAACGTTCCGAAGATCTCTTCCTTCTCTTCGGGATCAAAACCCAAGATGCTTCTTCCTCTCCAGGACTATGAAAAGGCACTTTTGGAACACCAATAGGCATTAAATGAAAGAAAAAAGAAAATCCCAAGTTTGTCTATGAAGAGTGGATCTAATTAATTCTTTGATACCACTTGTTGAACTGTGTTCCACCATCTTTGCTAAAACCAATTGGCATTGGGAACTATATTACCAGAAAACGCTAATACCCTAACAAATTACGTATTGGTATGCACGTTCCAAAACATGGTACACTTTCGTTCCAAAATGGTAAATTTAGTGATCCAAAACGATCCTAAAAGCTTTTTTCAATATGTGTCCTTAAATGTTACCTTGTGAGGAAAAAATTCAAATATAATGAATTAAAATTTAAAGTGAGTTAAGTTTTGACAAGACAAAAACATCAAAAAATAGGTCATAATGCTCATAGAAAATATTACATTTTATTGGATATCTAATAGTTAAAAAAAAAAATTACTCTAGAAGTACCTTAAATTCTTAAGTATAATATATACAAGTCTACCGCTATCGTACCACATTTTAGAGCATATGGCGTACCACGTTCCTATTCCCGTTCCACGTATTGGAATGATCCACGTTCTAGGTAACATAGGGTGGGAAGGGCTTCACTATGTCTCTTGTGGCATTCAATATGGTGCCCACAAGCTTCTGTGGGGAGTGCCATTGTGTGTACCCAACAATTTCTACATGACATTACATGTTAGCCCAAAAGATCAAAATTTTGCAAACTATTTGGATTGAACTAAAGGTGTTTTTAGTTATTTATTGGAACATAAGAACTATACAAGTTATCTGATGTCTCTTCTTTCCAGATGCAGAATCAAGATTCATGTTGCCCAGATCCTGCGGCAGAGGTATCACTTTTTCCTGCATGTTGAAGTTGATGCGTTCAGCTTTATGAAGAAACCCATCTAATTTTCTACATGCTGATTAATTCCCTAAGCATGGTCTATTTAGTATGACTGATGATTTGTCATTTTTCTAGTTACCCCTGCATCTGTACCTTCTTCGTGATCTTCATTGCAAGTTGGATTACTTTAGTCCTCCAAGAAAGCAATTTTCAGCCAGATGCTTAAGCAATCCACCTGGTTTTAGCAGGATGACAGCAAATGAGTTCTTAAGAAAGATCCTACCACTATTTTCAAGCCTTCAGAAACATCTTAATTGTGCAGTTCATATTCTTAAAGAAGGTAACCATATAGTGTTTATTTGGATGGATAAACTTCAGAACAGTGCTTCAAAATTTTCGGTGTCTTACAACATATTCCTGTAGGTACTGAGTTTTGTCAAGAACATTGGAGTGTCCAGTCTGCTTTAGCCAAGAACCCAGATTTGACCAACATGGTTGTTTCGAAGTCATCAGTTTGCAATTCACTACTTAAAGAAATACTTACATGCTTTCGCAAGGTGAATTCTCTCTCTATGAAAAACTCTTCTATTATTTATTTATTTAAATCAAGGAATAAGCTTTATATTTCAGATTTAGTCATTGTTGCTTTGTCCCAAGTGCAGATGTTAAATCTTCCAGATATTCAGGCAGAAAAATCAGTATTGTCAGATCTTCTTGAGGCCTTCCAGCCCACCAAGATACCAGATAGCATTTTTTCAGGAATGCAAGTAATCCCTTCCCCTGGGAACATAGATTATTTGTATTGTGGTGCTTATTCATTCCTAGAAGGAGTTCTTGAAGAAGGTATATTACTCCATTTTTTCCCTTGTACTTATCCTTGATTTTTAATGGCAGATTAATTCAATTTTACTGTATTTATGACCTTTTTGTTGCAGCAATTACTTTATCATTCACATTGGCTTCAGAAGTACTACTTACTTTGGATTCAGTAATTACTTCTGTCCAACAATTCCTGGAGAAGTCGGTGGAAGGAAAAAGTAAGGATATTCACAGTGGACTCTTCCGGGAAATCCTTCCTACCTTGCAGAACAGACTGGGAACTTCTGCTTATAAATTATTAAGGCATAATTGGGATAATCACAATCTTGAGAATGGTTGGAAGAGCAAAGTTAGTCTGTCTCCATATTCTTCAAATATCTAATTCTGGCTGATAGTGGATGTGAATCACAAATTTTTTTGTTTTTATTTTTTACCTTTATTATTGTGTTATTTCATCCTAATTATTGCAGGGAGTTGTTCAGAAGATACTGCAAATTTACTTGGTAAATAGTGATTCCACTTCTGATTTGCTGTGTGAGCTTGTCTGCTCTATCTTGCCTCAGGTGCATAAATGTTATCATCAAGTTTTGTTGGGCTAATATTTCTTTTATGTTGCACTTGCATCTCAACCTTGTCTATGTTCTGGGATTAATAAAGATGGTCATGTAACGCCTCTCCCCAACATACAATTGATGTTAAGGGGTCGTTTGGGAACATGCTTTTTTAGTGACTTTTTTGGTTTTTTGGCTAAATTATGAGATCAAAAAAACTAATATGTTTAAAATGATTTTTGGTTTCTTACGAAAAGATATGCAAAAAGTAGAGTGAACGGAAAAGAATCTTTGACTTTTTGGTATTTAGTGGTTTTTTGGCCTTTTTAGAGACATTTTGGCTTTTAGGCTTTTTTGGTGGGTTGCCAAATGACCCCTAACATTGTGTTTGGTTGGGGAATTTGGGAAGAGATTTGGAAATGGAAAGGGAAAGGGAAAAAGTGTGTGAAACTATGTGAAATGTAGGTATATTTTATTTACATTTCACTTATTTTTTTCTTTTCCTTTTCCAAATCTCTTCTCTAATCTCCCAACCAAACACAGCGAAATGAACATGGAAGGGTGTGCATGTGGAAAGAATATCCTAAAATTTCTAGTTTGCTATTGTTGGAGTTGAATAGCTTGATATACATTGTTGGACCCATTTCTTGACAGCTTAAGCTTTTGAGAAAATTGGTAACTTAACATGGTATTAGAGCTGTCTCTCTGTTGGTATTTGGTATTCTATCCCCATTTGGTTTCTTATCACTGTTTAGTTCTTTGTTGGCTCTTCACATGCAAGATGGGGTTACGCATGAGGGAAGGTGTTGGATTGTTTGATATACATTGTTGGGCCCATTTCCTAATAGCTTAAGCTTTTCGAAAAATTGGTAACTTAAGGTTGTGCGTGGTTCATGGACTTGGGAAGGGATAGGGAAAAGGTGGGTGAATTGTGAAAGAAATATAAATACATTTCACCTACCTTTTTCCTTTCCCTTTCCAAATCCCTCTCCCAATCTACGAACCAAACATAGACTAATAGTTACATCATGAGAATAACAAGGATATAATAAATTGGCTTTACATTCATTCTTGGATTGACAGTCCTAAGAGACTTTAAACAGCTAGATTAATTTGTTTGTTGATGATAAACCATGAAATTATTTTTAATTTTTTTTTTTCCTATTTGTATTCTAGGCCACTTTGAGCAAAACAACGGCAGAAGATGATTTTCATGGTTTCCCAACTCTTTGTTCTGCAACATTTGATGTGTGGTACCGTGTTATGGTAAGGTGTTTTCTGTTTCATTTAGGGTTAATTACTATACTTTCATCTGTGAATAATTTACAGAAGGTGATTTGATGGGCAGCATGAAGAAAATCTTCGTGTTCTGAACAAGTTGGTGAGCAGTAGATTCTTTTTTGAGTCCATTTAAGATCAAAGATGAATGGCCTGAAGTCATAGATTACTTATTCTTTGTTCTTTTCTGATTAGGTTAAGGAAGTTATTCTTTTAGGGAAGCCTAGAGCTGGATTTCAATTAGAAGCTGTAGAAGTTCTGCTGAAAAACTTACAGAAAACTGTGAATGTGGTGGTATCATTAATTAACATGTGCCGGACGCATGACAAGGTGTCTTAACTCTAAATGCAGAATATTCTTCTGATTTGTTTTATCAATTTATTCTATGTGAAATGATAAGGGAGAAAAACTATTGCAGATTAGTGTGCATGCCATGGCTGTCAAGTATGGTGGGAAGTTCGTTGATTCCTTCCTTAAAGGTATCTGGTTTAAACTTTTGGCTTGCTATGGTAATATGACTTTGATGGTTAGGGTACTAAATTTGGGAAGTCCTTCAGTTTTTGATTTCCTGCAGACCCAATTTCAGATCCACAATGAGCTTATTATTCAACTGGTAAGATCGATGAACTCTATGGTTGGCATTATGTACCATCCAAATTTGTGCTGAATCCATTTATACCTCTCTAAAAATTGGTGAAGGTGAAAGAGCTTCAGAAGGCAACAAGAACATTACAGACTGTATGTTCTGAAGCAAAGGTTAGTTCTACATGTTCAAATCTACTTCTGGCACTGTATGTTCTGCTTTATCACATCTATAACACTTATGTTTTTATTGCTTTTTGTTTATATGGAAGGGCATGAAACAAACAGCAGTAACCAGCAAAATTCCTGCTACAAAGAGATCTTTGGAACGTTTCTTATTCCATGTCAAGGCTCTCCTTTATACTACATCAAGTGGATGCACTTTTTGGATGGGTATATGATAATTTTTCTGCAAGAAAGCTTCTGATCATATCTCGATATACCCTAAATTATACTTGATTTATGTTAAATGTAGCATGATTTGACAAATTTTTAATTATTCACAGCTTCCTATTTGACAGCATCAATAACTTTTTTTCATTTGCAAAATTCCGCGTCATTCTGTGTATTCCTAACTGATGAAATTTACTTAATATGCATTGTTTTCCTTTAATCAAATTGATTTTATTTTATTTTATTTTTTTTCATCGAATATTTCTGGTTAGTTTTTGAATGTTGGTTAATTTATTTTATGCTAAATTATCATATACCCATCAAATTGATTTTGAATGTTGGCTTAACATATATATATATATATCTTATTCTGGCAGGCAATCTGAAGCATAAAGACTTGATGGGTCAGGTGGTGAGCTCTCAAGCATATGTAGATGAACAAAATGAAAATGCTGTTGAAGATTTCGAGGAAACTGTGGTTGAGGAGGATCAACAAAACAGTGTTGCTAGTGAAGAGGAAAGGGAAACAGAATGACAAGTGTCTTGTTTTGCAAAAGGCTTAAGTAGATTAACCTAAGACAAACTGAAGTGAGTCCCTAGAGTTCTGACTTGCTTTAATTTAGTAAATGAGCAGTGCTTTTGTTGTTTGAATGCAGTGTAAATATGCGCTTCATGTCATATAACTGAAATGGTAATTGTTGCTTTTACCAACTCTCAAGTTCCTGTATTGTCAAATCGAAGAAAGCAAAAAGGGGTTAAGGAGAAAAGAATTCATTTATCCTTTTGTAATTAATTTGCTATTCAACAACATTATTGACATTATTGTTCGTACTTGAGAATTGCTGAACACATGCAGGAGGTTCTAGCGGAGAAATGTTTTGTCTAAGAGCTGTGTCCTTGGGGTGGGGGGTTCTCTTATTTTTTTTCTTTTTTCTTTTGTTTTTATATATTTATTTTTTTGATTAGTAGATTTTGTCAATCTATTATGGAGAGATTGCTCACCTGTGTTGTTCCATCAGTAATTGGTTAACTAGATGAGCTGCTGAACACATCAAACTGTTGAAGCTCTTGCCCTAGTGTCATGGGTTGCCTTCCAAGGTCAGCTTTGTGACGTTTTGCACGTGGTGGTGTGACCATTTTAGTGCTCAAGAGTGGCCCTTGGAAGTGCCTAGGTGATGGGCATTGAAATGCGACGTTGGTGGTTCGGTGCCTCAACGTGGCCCCAAGGTTGGCCCCATGCAGCCTATGGCGAACATGCCACCAACAAGCCAGTAGCATGCCCAAGCAACCCAGGCCGTAGCCCATGCCCACATGCCAGCCACCTGCCCACAGCCCAGGCTGCGGCCTGAGCAGCTGTAGCCAACATTGCAGATTTTTGGCGCACTGTTTGAGCATCCAAATGGAGTTTTGGGCTGAAATTTTTACTAGACTTAGGTCTTGGGGTGAGTGTTTTCTCGACCTAGTTTGGTGATTTTTCTCAATTTGTGAAATTTTTAAAAAATCGTTATGATTTCTCAAGCATAAGGCATGTTTCCTTTTGCCAGTTAGTCAAAGGCTTAAGAAGCATATATAAGGGGGCATGGTGTGCTACCTACCTGTCTCCTTGCCCAAACTGAGCTTGAAGTGAGCAACCTTTGGGCAACTCAAGGGTGGGTTTCAGGCATCCAAAGGGTGTCTCTAGAGTCTCCATGGGGGTTTGGGAGCCTCGTGGACGGTGCAAAAAGTAAGCATTGCGCGTGCCTCTCCGGTGTGAGGTTTAACACGTTGTTTTCATTATGCCACATGTTATGGCATCTTGGGATTCATTTTAGACCCAATGGGCAATCAAGGCACCACCAAAGGCCTTGCATGCCAACTCAAGTGTGTGGTTTGGGTTCAACCTTGCATGTGGGGATCCCGTGGCTTAAGTTAAGCGGTTGGAAGGCAATGCCGCATATGTGGGCTATCGAATGAAGGCATCAAACTATGCATTGACTAAATCCATTGGGGGATGACATTATGCTACAAGTAAGCTACAGATTGAGATGTTGCCTTACTCGAGCGACACGGTGCAACGTTAAGGTGCGCAATGTCCTTAGGTAGAATCTAACACACGTGTTGGCACGAGGACTATGCCGTGGGCATGTTATTGACCCTCAGTGTCTTGTGGGCTATGCATGACCATGTGGCTACCCGATACTCATCGATTGAGGCATGCTTGATCCTGTGACACTTCGAGATGCTATCAAAGACTCAACATGCTATATTGGCTTGTCAGCTAAGTCGAGGGCCTTCGCTACGCATTGTTATGTGGCTAGGCACCTTGATGACATGAACCTAAGTTGGACGAGCACCTTGCTTGAGATAAACTTGGCGCTATGAAGTGACTTGTGCTGTGCTTGGTGCACTTGCATGCTTGATCCTGTGACACTTCGAGATGCTGTCAAAGACTTAACATGCTATATTGGCTTGTCAGCTAAGTCGAGGGCCTTCGCTACGCATTGTTATGTGGCTAGGCACCTTGATGACATGAACCTAAGTTGGACGAGCACCTTGCTTGAGATAAACTTGGCGCTATGAAGTGACTTGTGCTGTGCTTGGTGCACTTGAGGCGTCAGGCATGCTTGTGGTATCCAAGTGAAGACGGAGCTTCCTATGGGAGTTGTTTTGCTTGACAAAGCATTGGGCCCTTATGTTCAAAATGGGTGAGATCATCAACACTTGATTTGTCAATGAGCTATGGCGGGCTTAAACTTGGTGGAGTTTGACCGCCACACGGGCTAAAAATTATTCCGCTTCGCCTCTAAAGGAGTCGGCCCATGACACCTAGCCATCTGAGCTAGTTGGTCCGCTTATGAGGTTCCATGTTTTGTTTTACTTGTAATATATTATTTGAGCCCACAGATAGTTTTGTTTTGTGACAATTTCATTTGTCTAAAATTGTGAATATTGTTTGGTTGTAAGCAATGGTGCTCCCTTTTAAAGCAACTCCTGTGAGTCTATTAGGAAAAATATAGTGGGGGGATTGATTAATGTAATTTTGACTTATGTTTGATCATAAAATTATCTAGGCGTAGATTGTGAGGATAAATGTGTTGGGAAAAGAGCAATCAAAGCTCTTATACCATTTGTTGCGGGGAAAAAAAAAAAAAAAAAAAACTTGCATATTGGTGAAAATATACCAAAAATAAATACATATGCACTAACATGAGAAACATCAATATTTGGTGGTTCGGCCCATAGCGGTCTGCTTCCATGGATGAGAGGTAAATTCACTATAAACAATAGACTACAATGGCGAGAACAAAAATACCAAAAATATTTGACCCCATTTCTTGAGTCTTCTACACAAGAGTCACTAAGCCTTGAAGTTGTATACACTTACTCATTCCTGGTGTCCCTGAGCCGAAGCTCTATAGGCTTCCCTCTAATTTGTGTTTCAACATCACACCCTTTACATCTTTTTATTACTCCCCTTAGCAGCTCTTAAGCTGCTTTTGCTCTCTCTCTCTCTCTCAACGGGATTGATGGAAGCGGAAAAAACCATCCATTGCCATGGCTATCCCCCATTTATTTTTATTTTTTAGTTTTTTATTTGCATTCTTGTTAGACTTCATGTGCAAGAAAAACAAGGTCAACAAAAGTGGCCTTCTAATTTAACATCTCGCACCTTTTTTTCTACTAAAGCACATTTGCGGACCCCAATAATCACCTCCTCTGGCCATATGGGTTGTTTTGTCATATTGACAACCAAAATTTTGCTACCACAACCTGCATGGCCCATTCTCGCACCCCTTAATCGAGATGCTTACACCTTCTCCGTCAAGTGTCGTACACCTACTTGGATTGCCTTTTCCTGGTTGCACATTTACCATGAGGTGTAATTGCACCCCCTTGCATGGGATGCTCCACTATTCACATGTCCATGCCATGTTGTTGCACCACTTTTTGGGTGCCCATCGTGGCTCCATCTCTTTTCTTACTAGAGATTGTATTGAGAGATATACACCTCTATCATTAGATGTCTCTATTGACACAAACTTCTGTGAAAGAATTTTAATTTGACTTGGTTTAGGTATAATATATTTTTTATATATTATATTTGAGGAGACCCAATTCAATTTGGAAACAATTAGATTTGATTTTAAAACCCAAGATTCAATATATATATATATATATTGTTTAGTCGTCACAAAAAAGGTATGCACGGCTCTTACAAATTTGGCTCAATACTTTTCTGAATTGGCGCCGTTGCTGTAAACATCTTTTTGCGGGGTTGGTGCCAATTAATTCATCTTTGATGTTTTTTGATTTGGGGCGGCAGTCAACTCAGCGGATTGGTTTCGGTTGATTTGTTTGATCATTATTTGGTGGGTTGATTTGGTTCGTTATTTTGGATCTTCTTCAACTCTGGTTCAGAAGATTTGGTTCATCTATTTGGTGAGGTCTTTCCTCTTGTTTATTTGTGATTATTTGGAATTCACCTAAGGGTGTTTTGTGAGACCATTAGTGTCTCGTTTGTAATCGTTTGAAACGTATTTGGTTGATAGTGGAATCGGATTTCGATCCCGTGGACGTACCTCACATTGAGGGAACCACGTAAAAATTCTTGTGTTACTTTTGATTTAATTTTTCCGCATTAGTTTTTATTCCCATTGATTGATTTACTTGTGGGGAATCACGGATTTTCCCTAACAAATTTTGCTACCACAACCTGCATGGCCCATTCTCGCACCCCTTAATCGAGATGCTTACACCTTCTCCATCAAGTGTCGTACACCTACTTGGATTGCCTTTTCCTGGTTGCACATTTACCATGAGGTGTAATTGCACCCCCTTGCATGGGATGCTCCACTATTCACATGTCCATGCCATGTTGTTGCACCACTTTTTGGGTGCCCATCGTGGCTCCATCTCTTTTCTTACTAGAGATTGTATTGAGAGATATACACCTCTATCATTAGATGTCTCTATTGACACAAACTAGGTTCACAACCATAGAAAATTGGACTTGCTTTTTCCTTAGCGCGCATTGTCATGTCTTTACCTATCTCAATTTCATTGTTTGAAGTATCCTTTGTGAACTTCTAACAGCCAATTGTCGTCCCTCCTTCCTAGTATCCTGCACACTATACCAATGCCCCCATATGACACTCGCATATACACTTATATTTTTGTATGCCTAAACCTATGTGCAAAACTCCTGTGTACCTTGGATGTGCTTGGTGTACACTATGCTTTTGCTTTTGCATGTGCTTTCCTTGTTCACCTGTGACCCATACTAGTTGACTCATGTTTGACAAGCACTATACTTGTCACAATAGGTCCATGATCTTGTACATGTTTCCAATCATCTATCTATATGTCTAATCTTACCAAATCGTGTGGAACATACAAAATCCACTCCCACCAATGAAATCACAACACCAACTTTTTCTGTTTTCTTGTATGTCTTTGTAGTGGAACTACCTATCATGACTTTGATTTGCTACCATGGCTCTGAATCACCATCCTCGAGATTGTTGACCTAGCTTGAGTCTACCAACATGTCTCAAGATCGCCAACCATTAGCTTTGATACCATTTATTGGGAAAAAGTTTCCCATGTACTAGTGAGCTTAAGCTACCAAAGCTTGCCACCCACCCCCGACCGCGATGCTTGCAAGAGAAATTATTTGCCCAAAATGTACTGGTGAACATGTCAAAAGAAAATAGACATGTACACACAAATAAGAAGCATCAATATTTCATGTGATTCGGTCCATATTGCCCTAAAACCATGAATGAGATAGGTAAATCCACTACAAATAATAGA